GAAGAATGTTTGACAAGCCGCTTGTGTGGTGTATTTCGCTCTTAAGGTGGTTAATGTCATGCGGGACATACATATGTTCGATGGGTATGTACGGAGGTGCGCATTAAGTGGTTAATGTCAGGCGGTGCTTGTTCAAGATATACGCGTACACCCTAGGCTTGAAGTGAAAAGCATTTTTATCGTACATTTTTGTTGTTCTCATTTTTTATTTTATTCATTTAGATACACTTAACATAGGTAAATATAGCAAAACACAATATAATTGCATTAATCAATCAATCGATTAATTATATGTATTTTTTTCTCACTAATTTTATAATCATCAGTAATTTACAACTGGCTGTTGTTAGATGTTGTATCGCTTTCTTTCGCTTCGCTTAATTCATATAAGTTTTCCAATGTTAATTAATTATGTATTAACTCATCTACGCATTTTCTTTACTCTCTTCCCTTAGCTTCGCTAAAATCTTGATCCTTTCTTTCACTCTCTATTGCTTGCTTGCTTGCTTGTATGCCAGTCCAATAAAATTTCATATAGCGATATCTGTTTGAATGGTGTTCCTAATCGTACAGGACCACCAATGAATTTCTCAATAGCTTTTCCCTCCGCATGCTAGTAGTTCCGGTAGCCCTCTACGTTTCCTCTCCACGCACATCCATTGCATTATGCATGCGGTGTATGTGTTATTGGTGTTTCCAGCGTGTATTGATTACTTCATAATACATAATTTTATATATAAAACATTACTTTTGTATTTTATTTATTTTTTAATTAAAAAAGCAGAATATTCAATTGTTTGCAGTTTTCTCTTGTGTGTGTTTCCCCTTATAAATATTTAAATTAATTTCGTTTTTTTTGTTTGAGTTTGTTGTTGCTTCTAATTATTTTTTACTAAAACATTTACAATAGTTTTACATATCCTTCGAATATGAAAAAAATTATAATTACAAACTTCAATTCTTTCGGTATTCCTTCATTGTTTTTAAAGTAAAAAATCTTCTTTTCAATAAAAAGTATGCTTTTAAAATTATTGAACTGATTTACTGAATTTAATTAAGCTATAGTTGCTTAAATAAATAAGAAAACGCACTTAATTGAACTCAATAGTAGATATGCGAGCGTATGAAATCAAATGGGGGCGGTGGTCATGGTAATGGCTGGGTGAATGGGAATACAACTATTTTATTTGTGTAGTTCTCATCAATACAGTCACGCGTAGTTTTATTTTTTTTTTTTTTTGATTGCGATTGTTTTGGATTATATTATAGGGAAAACTTTTTAAGAAGGCGGAGACTTAAGCGAAAATTTTCAAGTTTAAGGATTGCGTTGAGAGGCGTTCATTGTTTACTTCATTCTGTTTATGTTGTTGTTGTTGTTTTTGTTTGTTTTCAAGAAAATACGCTTTCAAATTATAGTTAAATATGTATATTATTACTTTTCTTTCAAAAATTTCATTGCAGTTATACTAATTTCTGTTTCAATTATTTCCTTGCATTTAATATAATATGTATTTATAATAACCATTTTTTACTTTTACCGTTTGTTCTGTTTAATTGCTTTTGCTTTGCTTTGTTTGTTGCAATTGGTTGTAGGTTCTGTAATTTGGAATTGATTTGGATTGAATTTGATTGGGGAACTATGGTCGTAGTAGTTTATTGTAGTTTTATTGGTTGGTTGTTGTTGTTATTATTTATGCATAGATGACATTTAAAAGTAATGCAGAACGTGCATAAGGCGGTCACTGACAACACTGCTTGCGCACATCAGCCGTAACAGTCGGCTTCACATCGATGGGCTCCACATTTGGACGAATAACATCACCCTCGGGTGGATCTCTGATTTGTTTCTGCGATACGATACGATAGATTTCTGTAAGGATTCAGTCGAATGTTATATGTATGTAAATATTTTAAAGATATTGCAAGCCAGTTCAAAGTGTTTGAGAAAAATACATATGTATGCATCGATAAAGGAATTTCACCTGAGAGTATATTTTGGAATGCAGTTTCGACGTTCGTCGAATCCAAGGCAGATGTTTCAATGAAACTCAGCCCATTACGCTCAGCAAAGAGTTTCGCCTCATCTGTCGGCACGGAACGCAAATGCCGCAAATCGGACTTATTGCCCACCAGCATAATAACAATATTCTGATCGGCATGATCACGCAACTCTCGCAACCACCGCTCCACATTCTCGTAGGTCAAATGTTTGGCAATGTCATAGACGAGCAGTGCACCAACAGCGCCGCGATAATATGCAGACGTAATGGCTCGATAACGCTCCTGACCGGCCGTATCCCATATCTGCGCTTTAATTGTCTTACCATCAACCTAAATTAAATGAAAAGAGAACAAATAAACGTTATGTAGACGTTGTGGGTGGTTGAGTAAGCTGGTCATTAGAAGTAAAATGTTACTATGTAGCGCCTAGGCTAGCAAATATTTATGTAAGCTGGTGGGGTAATATTGTATTTTAATGTACTGTATAAATAAAAAAGCTAAATATGAAACATGATCCCCTAAACAAGAAGCCCCTTTCCCTGAATTTAATATGTAATAAAATGTTACTTGCCTCTATGCTACGTGTTGCAAATTCAACTCCAATTGTTGACTTCGATTCCAAGTTGAATTCATTGCGCGTGAAGCGGGAAAGTAAATTACTTTTGCCCACACCGGAATCACCGATCAGCACAACTGTAAAACATAATACAATATATAAGCTACTGATTACAAAAAACGATATGTATGTACATAAGTTCATATCGCTTAATTGCAGGCAGAATGTAATAACTCAAAATATAAGCAATGCAAAACAAGCCTTTAAAGTTTTACAAAAAAAATTTCTAAATAATTTAATCAGTACAACTTATTAAATTAATTTAATAATAACTTTTTTTCAGTTGCGTTTGAGCTATGACGTTCTTCAAGCAAACAAGTGATATTTACATATCTCTATATTATATATATTCATGATTAGTGATAGTAAAAATTCGAGCAGTTAACTGTCGCCAGGCGCCAATTCAGACATTTTTGCTCTTTTGACATTTTAATATAATTGGATATTTTTGAATTGCTGATAAACACGTTCTCTTTTTCAACGTTACCGCCGACGCAATACCACACCAAACGTCCACATATAGTTGTGTTGGGCAATTCTACATTGATAGTGGCTATGTTGACTTAAAAACCCGATTTGCAAGTACATATGTAAGTTCTTTATTTACACCTAGAAGTGTGTATACATGACAAAAAAAATAGCAGCCCAACTAAGCAGCAGTTTAAAATATGCCAACAATTCATTCATTAATTATACCTTCAAAGTTTGTTTTTTATCGATCAGTAGATAGTTTCATGAGGTAAAAGCTTTTTCAAAAGGCTTCCTGGGAACCAGAAGACCTTGCACTCTCTATTCCTTCCTCTTTTGTATGAAGTAGACTTCTGCTTTCGCTACCCATAGAAGGGCTTTTGTAAGACGTGCTTCAGAAGACCTTTTGGAGTTTTGCTATAGCCAGTTCTTTAATTCATATAAATCATACTTTTTGAAGGTATTTACCCAGAACACAATTTAGTTAGTTCTTCCAAAGTGAAACCATTCTAAAAGGCTTAACCAAGATGAGCATGCTTTTTAGAAGCGCTTTTGCTATTTGCAATTTACACGAATGTATAAGTTTATATTATTTAGCATTACAAAAGCCAGTACATATGTATTTGATATGAACCTTCAATAAATACCTTGAAGAATTATTGTTTTTATTACCTAAATCAGCACCTTTAGAAACAAGAATTCAAAAGACCTTCTCACGACGTCCTATAAAAGTCCCTCTATATGTAGCGAAAGCAGAAGCCTTCAAGTTGTGCCTCACGTCTCTCGGGAAGGCCTTTTAGAATGGTTTTTAGCCCTTGAAATTATCTACTGGGTATTTACGGTTCATGCCAAATACTTTTTATTGCAAATTAGAATGCATCTGTAATGGTAAATAATATAAACTTATTACTTTCTTATTTGTAAACAGAGGGCATGCAGGGAAACACTTTTTCCAGCCATTCTTAACAAAGCCTTTTAGACTGGCTTCACTGAAAAAGGCCTACCCAAATTGTCTTCTGGGCTGTTGTGCCTCGCTCTTGCAAACAATATTTTTTCTCAGCTATTATCTTAATCGTGTCAACGAATGAGCGGACAGAGTGAGTCATCTATTGTGGGATTTGGTATCAGAAGCTAAATATTTTTAAGTGTAAGCAATCGATATTTTCTTGTAGAAGCTTTCTTAAGCATGACTAATCAGCGAATCTAATGTCGTTTATCTGAAGGCCCAGGAAGCGCACAGATTCGACTTTGGATTCGGATTAAGATTAGACAGTTTGAGATAACATGTGAAGAGCGAGCTAATATTGTCCGGGCATCTTTCGGTACCTATTGGGCGTACTTTACGCATGATTGATTGTGAATAAGTAGGGTTTCTACATTCATAATGGAATTATGGAACTCGATCCATTCATATGGCTTAGAATTGAAATCTTTTTATTTCTCCCGATTAATAACGGTAGTGGTATATCAGAATCCGTCTGTTTCAGAGAAATTAATAGGTACGTATTGCTGAGCATAATAATATACCAATGACTGTTTAGCGATTCTCTGCGTCCTCTGGTCACCGCCAACCATACAGGGGCAATTCAAGAAAAACTTCTTCGTCAATCGCCTTGTATCACGGCCACTTACGTTTATTATTTATATTATTTATATTAATAATTGCTGCATAAAAAAATAAGGAAATCACAAGGCACACAAAAAGGCTATAAATTAGATAGGCGTTGGGCGTCGGGATCCGCGGGGCCCACGGTACTAATTGAGACATAACTGGGAGGGGGGTGTCACGAAATTTGCGGGTGGGACGGCACAGAAATCCTTTACCCCCGACACTCCCGAAAAAACCAGCAACTTTAGAAAGTTCAAATTATTGTTACCTGTTAATGTACTATATCTGGGGTAATAGCTAAATGAAATGTTATTTGAATTAATTTGAAAGCGGGTTCGGGACCTAAAAATCGAGTTTCGGGATGGTCGGGTTCGGGATTGCATATTTTATTCTGTGCCCATCTCTGCCCATGCCTGATCATTAGAAACACAAACGAAAAAATAAGAATGCGATTATTGGGAAGCAAAATCACAATGAGCAGTCCAAATGTAATGATTACACACATGTGTAACTACATAAAAACCACATCTGTTTGCATGCATGTACATTAGGCTGCATCACCAAAAAAGTTGCGGTTTTTCCGGCGGAATTGCAAAATCTTTTATATTTTAAGACAAGCCCAAAATATTCGGAAAAATATTAAGATTTACGTGAGCTGGACCGCTTTGAAAATACCTCTAAAAATAGAGTTTTCATGAATAAAAACCGTTTCTTAAAGAATTTTTTGCAAAAAATGCTCTCAAACTTAAACTGTTTGGTCGTCTGAGGTGATTTTTTTCCAAAAATACTTAATAAAAAACTAAATTTTTCGAAGATATTTTGATGGAAGTCTTAAAATATAATACATTTTATATTTTTTTTTTGTACGGGCAATGATGTAGTCTAATGTACATACTTAGACTTCTCTCTAAATTGGAAAATGCAACAAAATGTACAACATAATCACAAATAAATCAAGAAAACGAACGCGCAATAAAATGCATTTGAAAAGGTTTCACAGGAAAGTACACCGTACATACAAATGTACGTATATACATACATATGAATGTGTGCTTTCCATATGAACATGAGATAGCTCAGTGAAAGACGAGGCACACTTTAAAATCATTCCATGTTGAAAAAGAAATCCGGTTTATGCAGCATCAACAGGCAGAGAATATCAACAAGAGAGAAGGTTAAGAGAAAAAAGCGATTTTTAAATAACTTGGGAATAACAAAGGAAATTGCGTTTTCGATTAATGCGCAATCACGATCATAGGAGTAATGTTGAGAAAACAATGAAAAATAATTGTGTACGAAGCGATTATTTGTGCTACTCAGACGAACTCGAAAGTGGCAGCCATAACAAAGAGAGGTAAACATTTGCAATCAGCTGTCGGTAATAAACCCAATCCGCATAATTAATAACTATGTACGTAACTCCTTTAGTCTAATCATCCTTGAAATTATTAATAAACAAGCAGCATTGGGTCTAAGTATCAAATAGAAAAGTTTAATAAGTTGAGGTCAACGCAACATAAAAAAAAAACATTCAACCAAATCAGTCACCAAAAATAACTTAACACGAATACGTCACTTTTATGCAACGTGTCACAAAACTAAACGTCCGAACATGATAGCAAACCACCAAATGAATACTCGTACACAACAGAGTAGGCAAGAACAAGAATGTGTTACGGCATGCAGAACAAATACCAGATTGAAGTTGACTGGCTGGCTGTCTGACCTGCTACTCTAGCACATACATATGTATTTACATACATGTACTTGAGTAGTGGAAGTGATGATAGTTGCAGCAGACTGCTAGTAACCATCAAAACAGCTGAAAAGCGAGTAGGTACAAAACAACTGCTCGCATTTGCGAGTTGCCGATGACGGTTTGCATCCGCGGTATCGAAGCTGAAGGCACAAACATATATATGTTTGTACATGCTGATGAAATCTTTTGAAGATCGAGCCACCATGCGTGGAATATGCACTATCGCTTTTACTTGATAGCTCATTATATTCTTATATCAATTAAGCCAAGTATGTATGAATACATATTTTGTATAGTTTAGCGCTATATATACATATGTAAGTATATAGGACGCTGTAACCCCTTCAGATACATGTTTGTTGTATAGAAAATTTAGAAAATTAAAAACAGTGCACACCAGACTCGGCTCTTATTACGCTGTCCGATATAACCAACCAGAAACTCGAAATATCACCAACCAACCACTCGAGCATGGGCTACGTCATCGCACTTTATTGATGAATGACTCTTCCATTTTAGTTCCACTTTCATCGCAACTTTTCCAGTTCTTTTCTTTCGTTCGACACTCTAGTAATAATTCATGTTTTCTGTATCTTACCTTCAGCTAAGTTAATTTAAATTAAAAACAATCAATTACCTTTGAATAAATAATCGTATTCGTCCTCCCTTGTGCCCATGTTTGGATGTGAATTGTTTCTCCAACTGTTTTTAGCGTTGCCTTTTCCTCTTTTCCTTTTCGCTTTTGCAGTGCAATTCGGTGACCTGTGATTATCCTTTTTCAGTTACTCCACTTGTTTTATTTTTCCAATACTCTTCTTCTTCGATCTTCTTGCAACTTCTTTATCGTGGTATTTTTTCTACTTGAAAGTTTCTTCTTCAGTATGTAATTTGCGTATCTTTTTATTGCTCTTTCTCAAAGCTCTTTTTTATAGTAATAAAAAATCAACGATTATTCACCGAAATACGACGAAACACACAAACACATATGAAGATAGTGAAACCAAAGGGCAAAACGACGGTCCAGCGGACGGGTGACAATAACGACGATGGCGCCGACAGTGAAAGAAAAAAAAGGAAAATATTAAATTAGAAAATATGACGGGGCGGTGACTTTTCCACTGATTAAGAGGCTGTCGCTTCAGCATTTACTTCTTCTGCATAATGTATGTGTCGCTACAGCGGCTTCATTTCCAATGGAATTCGCCCAAAACTTTGCATACACAATTTTCTAAGCTACACTTTAAAATATCGCTTCACTATAACTCCTACACTTTAGTTATGTTTAAAAGCTTCCCTTTAATTGTGACTAAATGCTATTAACAATGTTTGATTCGATTTCTTTAAATCTTTAAAAAAATTAATCACCTTTTTACGCGACAACTACGACGACGACACAAGAAAATCTCTTCTTCTTTTTTCAGTGCCGTTGTTCAATCTGAGAACGTAATTTACGTTCTCTGATCAAATATGGCGGGCGGCGAAGGTGGAAAGCAAAACGAAAAAATAATCTACTACTG